ATATATATACACACACACACACACACACACACACACACACACACACACACACACACACACACACACACACACAAGCACCTAGAGCAAAATTTAGAATTGAATGCAATTTTAATTTGAAGTATTTTATGAATTGCGAGAGCATCAAGGTTCAGTCCAGTCCTTCAGAGTCTCAGAACCCCTTTACAACTGGTATTAAAATGGGATATGTATCCGGACACACTATCCAGATAATAACAATTTCATCTTGCCTTCAGGTTTGCACCTGTTATTTTTAATGCATTCTCATGATCCTCGTTGAGATCGAATCTCTGTCTTGCAGAGCAAAACCTGCATGTGATTCTGAACAGTGAATCAGCTGTGGACCAACTATCAACCTTGTATGTTATTGTAACATTTTTGTATTTAGACATACTATATGAGGTAGAAGTAGGCAGCAGACAGTTTTTTTAATCATTGTTCTATACAGTGAAAGATTATGACTGGACCAATGTCTGTAACACATAATTAACTGGTACAGGGTCTGACAAAACACTTTCTGAATGAGAAGATGTTAAGTGTTTGACATCTCAAAAGATATAGCCTTTGCTGTCACTCATTTGTAGCCAACAGTTGACAACATCCAACCGTTCATTATCCACAAGAGTGGTAGGCATGCTGCAGCCTATCCCATTCGTTTAAAACTCTCCATCCATTTACTCTTTCCGGGAGACTGCTGTAAATATGCAACCATTGTATAAATTGTTGTTTGTCTCTGTGTGCCTTGGCTGGCAACCAATTCAGGCTGTCCCCTGCCTACTGCCCCAAGACAGCTGGGATGGGCTCCAGCACGCCCACCACCCTTGTGAGGCTAAACGGTTTGGATAATGGATAGATACGTGGATGGATGTTCACCACGAGGCCAAAGGATATGTATGTATTAAATAAAAAGGCATTCAGTGTGGTCTCTCTGAGGCACCATAGTGGGCGTGCTTCAGAATATACAGTTCACACACACACACACACACACACACACACACACACACACACACACACACACACACACACACACGGTCACTTCTTCATCAAGCAGTTGCCCCCTGACCTTTCCCTGGACAAGCAGAGGAAGATTGATGGATCGATACATTATATGTTCCAACAGTCGATATCTATCGAACTATCATCTATC